CATATTCTGCTGCTTTGTTTCTGGGTTGAAGTGGTGGAACTATGCTCTGTCTCCTGTCACAATACTGTTAATAAAATTCTCACCATCAGTTTGATAGTGTGCCAGTAACTCTGAACATATGGTCAAACACATTTGTGGTCATTTGTCACAAGCCATGGCACCCATCTTGAACAAACCTTGTGACAGCCAAGAGACATTATCATTTTCTGTATTGCATTGTGTCCTACATTCAAATGATGTGTAATTTCCCTAATAGTTATCCTCCTGTCCGCTTGGACAAGCTCATCAATCATGTCCATGTTTTCATGTCAGCTGTTCTTGATCAGCCACTCCAAGGCTTATATCAGCAATGTCTATTTTTTTTTTTTCTTTAAAATGTTTCATCCACATTTTCACTGTACTGAGACTCATGCAGGTGTCTCCATAAAAGTTCTGTAAACACTAATAAATTTCTGAAATGGCAATGTTCTCACTAGCAAGGAATTCAATGACGACGAGTTGAAAAAATGAAACATTTACAGAAGCCATTTTTCTACTATCTAGAGCAAGGGTGGCAAACATTATGTACTAGATGACTTCTCTTTACATGCCACTTTGTGCATGCATACCACCCCGGATCTAGAGCAATGAAGGTAAAAGTGCACTTAGTTCATGACATTCCCAACAAATATCAGTAACTTTCACTTACTTGGTTTGAATCACACTCCAATTACTGGTGAGTAATTGCATATGGCTCATGACTTTTGGTACATGTCACATATATTGAAATGCATAGACAACTAAGACAACATACTGTAAACAACTAAGTTTTACATAAAAGTTAAAATTACATTTGCAAGTATTTTTAATGGAAAGAATAGCAACTACTTCTTTAAACAAAAATAACACAAAACAATTTTCTTAAATTTCAAAATACAAAAGCTTTTAAAATTTAAAACATATGAGAATTAAAAAAAATTCTATACAATAAATTTTGTATGAAATTCTATAAAATTTATTTTATACAATTTCATACAAAATTACTGAAAAAGTATTTCACAGTTGATTCTTAATAAGTTAAACTTTGACCTCCATGGAGTCAAATTTTTATGCATGTAATTTTATTTTCATTCCAATGTAAAACTTCTGTAAACACAATGTATTTTGCATGTCTAAATTAAAACAGTTTTTAGGATTAAAATCATTTAGGGTTTACTTAAGAATAAAAAAACTCGCAAAACGTTTAAAATCCTGAACAAAGTAACAATTTTTACAGAGAAGCAGCTACATCACTCACTCTCTAGATACCGAAAAAAACATAAGAAGAGGTTTTTGCTTTTCTTATGTAAAAAATAGTCAAATATGTAACTTTGTCAGATTGTTACTTTAATGTTTTGAACTTGTATAAGGTTTTAATTTATTGCAACCAATATAAAAATTAAAAAAAATTTTTTTCCAACATTATACATCCTACAATACAAATACAAAATTTATATTTGTTGTTTGGCTATACCAGGGGTCAGAATTAGCGGCTTGCGAGCCGCATACGGCTCTTTGCATAGACGTTTCTGGCTCTTCGGAAATAAACTCCAATTTCATCTCACCTCATTTCACCGCAGCCTTATAACTTATGAGTTTATGAGATAGAGCCGCCGAACAAACTTCGACTTGTTCTCCATCCGCACATGACCACACTCGCGTTGATCAATATGAGTCGCATAAGAGTGGTAGCATTTGAAGCATATCTATATATATAACCCATTGAACGCGAACGCGTGTCCGTCCATCCGTGTAACGTTATGCCGAAAACGGCCACTAGAGGTGCCTCTGTCATGTGTTGTATTTTGCACATTTAAATTAATATGCGGCTCTCTGATACTTTTGTTATCCTGTTTTCATGACAATTTGGCTCTTCTCACTTGACAAACTGCCGACCCCTGGGCTATACTGTGGTGATAGAATCTCTTATAAATTTGAATATGAAAACAAACATATCTAGCATATAAATTATTAAAACACTGCTTTTTCAATTAAAGGAGATTTCAGGAAATACAAAAATTCCAATTATTCCAATTATAAATAATCTGATTATTACTAATTTTACAGGCATAAATGGGATATCTAATTACAATCTATAAAGTCTATAATTCTATTTATTATTTTAAATTGGACTATATGTAAATTTAGAATTTAAATCTTATCTAATTATTAATACATCAGAAATAAAAAAAGTTACCTCAATGTGCAGTCACTACATTCATAAGGAGTTTCTCCTGTATGTCGTCGCAAATGTTCTTTATAATGACTTGGATGGCGAAAATTTCGTCCACAGTCACTACAAGCAAATCTGCTTTTGTTGTTATGTATGAGCATGTGGTAATTTAAACTATGCTGCCTTGTAAATGTTGCACCACATACAGCACATGTAAATGGTTTTATACCTAATAATAAAAAATAATGCCTAATAAATTCCATTTTTACTAAAATAGATTACTACAAAGAATATATCTTTGCTAATAAAATTAAATATTAAGCATCATTATTATGGATATATCAAATAAACATGTAACTAGTTTATACTGATGATGCACTTCAAAACAAAATATTTATTTATTTATTCAATGTATACAACAGGAAGTGTCACTGGACATTATTTCCTTTACCAAATTAAAAAAAAAACAATAATAAAAAAGACCCTTAAAAGCAATAACAAAAGAAAAAATATACTTATAAGAAACAATTGCATGGGAAAAAAACAATAAGATAAAACAAAATTACATATAAAATAAAAAAATATGTTACAGATCAAGAGAAGGTTGCATATTATACAGTAAGCATTTACATATGTGTTTAAAATGTAATAAGTCAAAATGTAAAATTGTTCAACACTACAAATATTATTTTTAATTGTCTACTTGGACTTAATTTATTAATAGGACATAAGCTGGTGTTTAAAGATTGACACAGCAATGAGAGTTAGTTCAGGAAAGAACAAAATTCAAATGCCAAATCAACAAAAATACTATAAAAATAAAGAAAAAAGAATCAAATAATTTTAAACGTCAATTATACGAACATTTAAACATAAAGAAAGAAAGAAATAAAATAAACAATAATTTGGGTCGTATAATCCACCAATCCTGGAGCACCATTCTAGANTCAGCAATGTCTATTTTTTTTTTTTCTTTAAAATGTTTCATCCACATTTTCACTGTACTGAGACTCATGCAGGTGTCTCCATAAAAGTTCTGTAAACACTAATAAATTTCTGAAATGGCAATGTTCTCACTAGCAAGGAATTCAATGACGACGAGTTGAAAAAATGAAACATTTACAGAAGCCATTTTTCTACTATCTAGAGCAAGGGTGGCAAACATTATGTACTAGATGACTTCTCTTTACATGCCACTTTGTGCATGCATACCACCCCGGATCTAGAGCAATGAAGGTAAAAGTGCACTTAGTTCATGACATTCCCAACAAATATCAGTAACTTTCACTTACTTGGTTTGAATCACACTCCAATTACTGGTGAGTAATTGCATATGGCTCATGACTTTTGGTACATGTCACATATATTGAAATGCATAGACAACTAAGACAACATACTGTAAACAACTAAGTTTTACATAAAAGTTAAAATTACATTTGCAAGTATTTTTAATGGAAAGAATAGCAACTACTTCTTTAAACAAAAATAACACAAAACAATTTTCTTAAATTTCAAAATACAAAAGCTTTTAAAATTTAAAACATATGAGAATGAAAAAAAATTCTATACAATAAATTTTGTATGAAATTCTATAAAATTTATTTTATACAATTTCATACAAAATTACTGAAAAAGTATTTCACAGTTGATTCTTAATAAGTTAAACTTTGACCTCCATGGAGTCAAATTTTTATGCATGTAATTTTATTTTCATTCCAATGTAAAACTTCTGTAAACACAATGTATTTTGCATGTCTAAATTAAAACAGTTTTTAGGATTAAAATCATTTAGGGTTTACTTAAGAATAAAAAAACTCGCAAAACGTTTAAAATCCTGAACAAAGTAACAATTTTTACAGAGAAGCAGCTACATCACTCACTCTCTAGATACCGAAAAAAACATAAGAAGAGGTTTTTGCTTTTCTTATGTAAAAAATAGTCAAATATGTAACTTTGTCAGATTGTTACTTTAATGTTTTGAACTTGTATAAGGTTTTAATTTATTGCAACCAATATAAAAATTAAAAAAAATTTTTTTCCAACATTATACATCCTACAATACAAATACAAAATTTATATTTGTTGTTTGGCTATACCAGGGGTCAGAATTAGCGGCTTGCGAGCCGCATACGTTTGCATAGACGTTTGTGGCTCTTCGGAAATAAACTCCAATTTCATCTCACCTCATTTCACCGCAGCCTTATAACTTATGAGTTTATGAGATAGAGCCGCCGAACAAACTTCGACTTGTTCTCCATCCGCACATGACCACACTCGCGTTGATCAATATGAGTCGCATAAGAGTGGTAGCATTTGAAGCATATCTATATATATAACCCATTGAACGCGTGTCCGTCCATCCGTGTAACGTTATGCCGAAAACGGCCACTAGAGGTGCCTCTGTCATGTGTTGTATTTTGCACATTTAAATTAATATGCGGCTCTCTGATACTTTTGTTATCCTGTTTTCATGACAATTTGGCTCTTCTCACTTGACAAACTGCCGACCCCTGGGCTATACTGTGGTGATAGAATCTCTTATAAATTTGAATATGAAAACAAACATATCTAGCATATAAATTATTAAAACACTGCTTTTTCAATTAAAGGAGATTTCAGGAAATACAAAAATTCCAATTATTCCAATTATAAATAATCTGATTATTACTAATTTTACAGGCATAAATGGGATATCTAATTACAATCTATAAAGTCTATAATTCTATTTATTATTTTAAATTGGACTATATGTAAATTTAGAATTTAAATCTTATCTAATTATTAATACATCAGAAATAAAAAAAGTTACCTCAATGTGCAGTCACTACATTCATAAGGAGTTTCTCCTGTATGTCGTCGCAAATGTTCTTTATAATGACTTGGATGGCGAAAATTTCGTCCACAGTCACTACAAGCAAATCTGCTTTTGTTGTTATGTATGAGCATGTGGTAATTTAAACTATGCTGCCTTGTAAATGTTGCACCACATACAGCACATGTAAATGGTTTTATACCTAATAATAAAAAATAATGCCTAATAAATTCCATTTTTACTAAAATAGATTACTACAAAGAATATATCTTTGCTAATAAAATTAAATATTAAGCATCATTATTATGGATATATCAAATAAACATGTAACTAGTTTATACTGATGATGCACTTCAAAACAAAATATTTATTTATTTATTCAATGTATACAACAGGAAGTGTCACTGGACATTATTTCCTTTACCAAATTAAAAAAAAAACAATAATAAAAAAGACCCTTAAAAGCAATAACAAAAGAAAAAATATACTTATAAGAAACAATTGCATGGGAAAAAAACAATAATAAAAAAGACCCTTAAAAGCAATAACAAAAGAAAAAATATACTTATAAGAAACAATTGCATGGGAAAAAAACAATAAGATAAAACAAAATTACATATAAAATAAAAAAATATGTTACAGATCAAGAGAAGGTTGCATATTATACAGTAAGCATTTACATATGTGTTTAAAATGTAATAAGTCAAAATGTAAAATTGTTCAACACTACAAATATTATTTTTAATTGTCTACTTGGACTTAATTTATTAATAGGACATAAGCTGGTGTTTAAAGATTGACACAGCAATGAGAGTTAGTTCAGGAAAGAACAAAATTCAAATGCCAAATCAACAAAAATACTATAAAAATAAAGAAAAAAGAATCAAATAATTTTAAACGTCAATTATACGAACATTTAAACATAAAGAAAGAAAGAAATAAAATAAACAATAATTTGGGTCGTATAATCCACCAATCCTGGAGCACCATTCTAGATGACGATTACAAAAAAGCATAGTCTCTACACCATAATACTGTTGAATTGTGAAAATTTGAACCTTGATGTGAGTCCTTTTGGTTTTCATATGTAATGTTTTAGTTTTTAATAATTTACAACCTTTATTTATTATATTTTAATTTATTTATACAGTGAAATGTTTAAATCATTAATTAATTATACAAAGAGAAAAATACATTTATACTCGGGTTTGGAATATGTATTTACAGTAAGTTTTTTAAAATTATTTTTATGGCTATGTAAAAAATTTTAACTTATACAATAACTTATCTTGTTTTATTATTGTTACTTTTTAGTTTGTGGTAGTAGTACTGCTGATGAGGGGCATGATAGCCCGAAACACTTGTAATATGTGTACAGAAACTATTACTACAGGTGATATAATAAAGAAATTTTGTTCTTTCCTGAACTAACTCTCATTGCTGTGTCAATCTTTAAACACCAGCTTATGTCCTATTAATAAATTAAGTCCAAGTAGACAATTAAAAATAATATTAGAATTAAAAAGGACAGTAAGGCTTTTACAAACACTACAAATATTTTGAGAACAGTAAAAATGAGATCTAATAGAAAGAGCTATCCTAAAAAAGGGGTAAAAATGCAAGATAGATTATGGTTTAAACATTGAAAAATCCATAGGAAAAGCCAATCAGAGTGAATAAAATCATTACAATATTTGTAAAAAAGTAAATGATCAAAATATTTAATGCAATCAGTAAGAGATGGAAGACCAAATCTAGATCTAGCAACATCGGGATTGGATGTAAACAGGAAATTAGCAAGTTTGTTTAAAAGAAGACACATTTTATGAAATACCTTAGAAATTTTAGTAAAATGAGATGGCATAACCATTGTCCAGACTGGAAGGCAATAATCAAATAATGACCTGAAGTTATTATTAAGCAAAGAAAAGGAAACACAGTATTATTTTAGATGAAATGGTTTTACAAAAATACAATAATATGCCTTGATGAATAGCTAAATATTTTATTATTTTATCAAAGTATGCTTTAAAAATAAGTTTATTATCAAAGATCATTAAAGGAGTTAACAAATTGAATAAGTTTGTTATGTAAAAAGGAGGTTAATGGGTATCATGATTTAAGGAAAAGCACATTATGACAGTTTTATCTACATTAATTTTAAGGTTGGAGAATTCAAAAAGGGAAGACATAAGATCTGTTTGAAAAACATAGGGATTGCAGTTTAACAATTTAATATTGTTGGCATAGACAATAGTAGTAGAATTACGTTGACCAAAAATATTGTTGTTATAAGCTGAAAAAAAGACTGCTTAATGTAGAACCTTGTTGAATATCACGGACTGAGGCAAAATCAGGGAATTCAAGATCAGCAAAATTTTACAGGAATAAGGATATTGTTAAGCTGGGAATGAAGAGCAGGGTCAAGATCAAAGTGTTCTGTGAGGGTTGATAAGAAAATATTCATAAGTACAGAATCAAAAGCTTGAATATCAATATAAATTAATTTAATTTAATTAACATTGTATCTTTGCCACTCTGCCATGCCCGAACCTTTACACCTTTCTCGAATCTCTCTTCTGTGACACCATTCACAGAGTAAGAGCTTTAATTTGATAACTGAACTGTATTTTTAGCCCCAGTCATTTATTCACTTTGAAAGAGGGTTCAAAGATATATATTTGATTGTTCTAGATATACAGTAAGACCCCACTCAGCACTGCTTCGCTTAACACTGATTCAATATAATGTGGTCTGCTCAAAGCCTAAAAAAGTGCTGATTTAAATTATCATGGCATTTCATTGATTCATACCTAATACAATTATTTACAAACACAAACCAATCAGAAAAAGATGTCAAAAACGTGTACTTTCTTTAAATCTATGTTTGTTTGGTGCAATTTTGGTGCAACAATATAACATCATGATGCCATAGGCAATATCAGCTTTGCTTGGCAAGAATTAACTGATAAATGCATGAACGAAGTGTAGAAGACCTTATGGCTGAAGGTATTGAAGAATTCTCAACGAGAAGAGCCTATCGCTGTATCGTCAGATTGATCAAACTCAACCTAATCAATACAGCAGGACTAGATGTAGACAAACAGAATATTGAGGAGTTACAGCAGGTTTCTGGTGAGAGTCTTACCAACGACGACCTTCAAGAACTGGCAGAACAAGGAAGCCGTGTAGAACTAGAAAATAGTGATTCTGAAAACAAAGAACCCAAAAAAATTTCTCTACAGATTCTTAGTAAAAGTATGGTAAGATAACCAAAATCATTGATCAAATTGTAGTGAATGATCCAGATTTTGAAAGGAGTGCAAAAGCAAAACGAGGTGTTTTGGATGCAATCTTCTGCTACCGACACTTGCTTAAGGAAAGAAAAAAGCAACAAATGAAACTTCATGACTTTATTGCAAAAAGCAAAAATTTCAGAAAAGCCAGGACCTTTGTCACAAAAAATGAACAATACATTTCCATGTGCATATGTTTATGTGTAATTTTTCATATACAGTAGAACCTCCATTATCCGGACCTCCATTATCCGGATTTTCGATTATCCGGATTGTTCAAAATAAACAAAAATTTTACGAATTTGCTGATTTGCACTTGGTGAATTACGACACTGTTTATGTACGTGATGGAATGCATAACTTTTTTTGTTTCAACAACGTATCACCCAGCACAGTGGTCGTAAACTCTTAAATATATTTTACGTAGTAATAAAGATATAACTTGACATACGTATTTATATATATTATATATTCAAATTACATCATTTCTATGACCAAGGGCGGCGTAAGGCATGAACGACGTGGGCCACAGCCTATGCCTCGCGGTCTGAAGGGCCTCGCGCCTCGAAGGTCTATGCATTACTTAAAAGCCGCGAACGCGACGAAAAAATTTTACTCGTCATAAAACGATAAATAGTTTGTCAAATTTTTATTCATAAAAATGCAGTTTCAACTGCTTTTTATTTTATAAAATCCGTCTTCTTGCGCCACCAGAGGGCCTTTTAAACAATAAGTAGTCTGTTAGCGTTGGTCGGTAGTAGTCCAAATTCAATATGAACGTTTGTTTCTTGAAAGTTTGATCACCATTTAAATACAGTATTTACTTTTAATATTGCCGATATGTCATCCAAAAGAAAACGTGTTGTATTATCATCAAAAGACGAATTAAAGTATTTGTTTCGATTATCCGGATTTTTCCTTATCCGGACTACCTTCATCCCCAATTAGTCCGGATAATCGAGGTTCTACTGTATTATTATACAAATTAATATAAAAATAACTTAAAATTAAAGTAAAATTTGTTTATTTTTGATCGCATGTTCCCTTATCCCTATTTACTCTATGTTAAAATGGCCTCATTTAATGCTGTTTTGTTAGGTGCTTTGTTGTCTAGGAACACATCCCCCACATTAAGTGGGGTCTTACTGTATTGTAATATAATACAGTAAGACCCCGCTTTCACATGATCTATGAATAACTCATCATGGGTTATCTATGCTTAGAAGTTGATTTAAAAATGTATGAGAAGTTATATGTCACTGTGGGTTATCTGTCAATTTTCAATTGCAATTATGAACTCATCCAATAGCTTTTTCTTTGTCAAAACTTACGAGTGTCTTTTATACAAATAAAAGCATCCTTTTCATTTTGCACATATTTTTCATCATAATTTTTCTGGAAACCATCAGACATGTATTTATATGTTTGAGGTTTTTACTTTTCTCCTTTCTTCTTTATATAGATTAAATAATACTTTAATTGATATTATTAGACACCTGTATCATAAAAGCTGATAAACTTCTGATAATTTCCTCTTACTATACCATATAAAATCTCAAAACTATTTTGACATTTAACATTATAAATAAGTAGCTGCTTAGTTGATATTAGTGCTTAGTGTTATACATGTGTGTATCTGTATTTAAGAATTTCCTGTGTAATCTATGTTTACTATGCTTGCTTTCTGTAATGTAATGCATGTTCTGTTGTAGACTTTTGTGTAGTGTATATGTGCAAGAGAGGATTATGAGTACAGTAAGTGCTCCATACATCAAGCACTTTATTTCATGGGCAAGTTGAGTATTTAACATAACAAAACAAAATACAGTAAAAACTGCTTAGGCGATCACCTGCATTCGACGAGCACCTGTCAAAATGGGCAAAAATTTCTGGCACTGAATAGTTT